GCCGTCGTCTTCATTTCCACCCCGCAGCAGAAAAAATAAAGGGGTAGAGAACCCCGAGGTGGATGGTCGAAGCAGCGGTTTCCTCGGCGGTATTTTAGCACCGGGAAGAAGCGTGAATCAGCCTGGGCGTGTTGCAGCCATGGCTTTTGGCGCATCAGGGATTGTGTAACCAGTAGCAAAAACCCCTCTTCTAGCCGTGTGGGATGATTGCAGGCTCACAGAGCACGCTCCTACCTATAACGTGCAGCCTTTAAGAAGAAGGTACTCGGGAGAAACTACTACAGAACGTATATGTAAATGTAAGAAGATCCATTAGGGTGCCTGATGATGGAAGAGGAGTCTGAAAAGTGTGTCATGAGACAGATGATGCTAAACATAATCTGGCACGCAATGGCAATATTTTGAGACTGAGACTATTTTTGCAGCTACCGGTTGCAATGCTCAGAGCCATTTTATGTTTAATGAGCACCCTTTCAATGAGGCGTTTCTCATCTGTGCTGCTCATCTGGGAGAAGTCATGAAATCCGGCTGAAAGCTTTGTTGATGAACAGAATTACATGTGCTTTTCGTGGGTCTCTTTTTGAGATGTGCAGAAGAATCCAAGGCTGTAGCAAGCATCAAAACTACAGAAACGGTGAACAAAAATAAATGGCTAATGCTGCTGTTACAGTGAATATGTACTCGATCAGGGATAAAATTGTGTAATCCTGCCTGTCTGCCCTGTTGGCCAATACTTGAGGTTATGGGCATGTATCTAAATCTCAGCAGTCTATTTGGGAATGAAAGAACGTGAATTCAAAGGAAAAGGCTTTTTCTTAAAGTGCCCTGTTACTAAACTGAAGAGGGTTTGTTACCTCTGCTGATCATGACCGCAGCAAGACTGAATAAGGACAGATGAATTCTTTTACATACCTTAGGCAGGAACATTTTTATGTTCCTTTTTTGTTTGTTTGTTTTTTGGTTTTTTACGTTCCTTAGGTAGTTCCTTAGTCTATATAGGCTGCATCCAGTACTTGGAAGCTGATAGGCAGACGGCATGGTTCATAGAAAACCTTAGGCTCTGAGGAAGAGCTCAGCCACGTACCTCCTTCAGTTAGGTACCACGCCCTGTGTTACTCACTTGTACTAAACATCGCTAAGCTGTACCTCTCTGTTTTGTTACAGCTTTTTAAATCGTCCCTTCCCATATGAAGTTCAGATTCCGTCATTCTGTTTTGTGATTGTATTTTAGCAGCACTTTACATCAATTTCAATAATGGTTTTTATAGCACCTCTTCGCCAGATGTCATCTGGGAGTGTTCCTGGCTCTTCTGGAGGGAACATGATTTACTATCTCCTTGCTGGTGTTGCTGCTTTTGGTGGTTTATTTTATGTAAGTGTTTGGGAATGGAGCTGTTTGTGCTTTCTGAGTTGGCATGGTGTAAGGTGTGTTCTGGGTTAAAGAATATGGTCAAGACGCAAACCATCAAAAGAATGCGGATGTCGTAGCATATAACTAAATACCGTCTAACTTAAAAATCAGTTCAAGAGAACTAGTGAAACTGAATGCCTGTTGCTTGCCTGTTTTACTGTTACTGTGATATCTCGTGCTGTTTTCATTCTTAGTGGAAAACATATTTAAAACTATGTGAAATGAATGTGTCCAAAGATGGAGTGAGGCACCTGCCTCTAACCCCTTGCCTCTTGTCCACCACAAACATTTAGAATATCTCAAAGCAGGCAAGACAGAGGTGAAGTAAGCTGTCTGAAGCCGCAAGGGGAAGATTATGAACCTTGTTAATTGGGGCACAAAGAAAGATAAGAATATTAGTTACTTAGAAAAAGCATGTTGAAGTTTTGTAAACATCTACTTTTGTCAAGTTTTTCAGTAATCATTCTCTTCCCTGCATCTAAATATATCAGACTCTGTGCTTCATGTCCCTAAAGCCTCCAGTTGATAGCTTCCTTCCACCCCCCCAAGATTTGAGCTAGTGAGATAGTGATTAGCACATCCCAGAGAGGTACATGTTTCCCTCTCCCACAAAATAATCCTCCTGAACGGTAAGTAACTTCTACTTGTTCAAAATATCAAACTTGTGTGATTGCATATCTGCAGGAATAACAAATTCTCTTGCTGTCACCTTTTGACCGTAGTTTTTTAAAAAAACCAATCTGACTGCAATTGTCTTTTAAAATACTGTGTTCAATTCCTGAAATACTGCAGCACTTCAAGAGCTGCATGGTATATTGTATTTGCTTTCTAACAATGGAGAAATATGAAATGTGTAAATATATTAGTATAGCAAAATAGATTTATTTTTTTTTAACCTTGCTTAGTATAATTTGATATGCCTTTTAAGATGAGCAGTAGCATTTGCTTAAAAACCCTTTTCTCCCTCTCCCCTCTTTTTGTTTGGTAACTTTGTAGGGACGTAGCAATAAGTTTAGGTATAATTTCCTTTCAGGCCTACAGAGTAGTCAGTTCATCCCGCAGCAAGTATATTGAACATATGAATATTCTTC